TGCATTGTTTCCAGCTCTTTGCTTTAGCAAACAAAGCCGAAATATACATGGGTGTGCATATATCTGCTTGGATAGCAGTTACGGTTTCTTTACAGTAAACTCCCAGTAATGGAATTGCTGGGTCAAATGGTATTTCTATTTCCAATTTTTTGAGAAAGCACCATACAGCCTTCCATAATGGTTGCGCCATTTTGCACTGCCACTAACAGTGAATAAGTGGTCGGATTTCGCCATAACCTCACCAGCATTTGATGTTTGCTGTTCTGTTAAATTTTGCTATTCTGATGCTATTATTCTCAAATAATTTGCTCAGAATACAGTTGTTTTGATTTACATCTCTCTTAGAACTAGGGATTTTGTTTGCCATCTGAATGTCTTCTTTGGTGAAGTAAAATTAGGTAGTTTTTCTAAAGTCATAAATAATAAAATTATTGTTGGGTTGTTAGGTGCTATCAAGTCAAGTACAACTCAGTGATCCTTTGAACAAACCCTGTCCTCTCCTGTGGCATCTTCACACTTCCTGACACACTAGAGCACATTGCTGCTATCACTGTGTCAATCCATCTGGTTGAAGGTTTTTCTCTCCTTCCCTAACACTCCACCCTTCCCAGGATCTTGTCCATCTACAAGGAATAACCCCTTCTAGCAACATGCCCCAAGTATGTGAGGTGAAGACTCATCATTCTTGCCTCCAAAGAGCACTCTGGATTCACCCTCTCCAAGACATATCTCTTTGTCCTTTTGACTGTCCATGGGATGTTCAGTGCTCCTCTCCAATACCAAAGCTCAAAGGCATCAGTTCTTCTGTTGTCTTTACTCATTGTCCAGCTCTCATATGTTTAGCAAGTGATCGGAAAGATTATGGCCTGAATGAGACACACCTTAGTCCTCAAACTGACATCATTACTCCTCAGTAATTTGGAGAGGCCCCTGCCTACAGACTTTCCCAGTACAGTGCATCTCCTTATTTCCTGACTGGTACCAAGGGTGTTAATTGTGGATCCAAGTAAGGTGAAAGTGTTGACAGTTTTGATCTCTTCTTTATTTTGATCTACATCCATCATCATGTTGCCTTTTGGTTCAGTGGTAAGAATCTGTGTTTTTTCTTGACATTGAGATGCAATCCGTATTAAAAATTATGTTCTTGTATCTACTGCAGCAAATGCTCCAAGTTCTCCTCAGTTTCAGCAAGCAAGATTGTGTCATCTCCATCAGACAGGTTATTTATGAGTCTCCCTCCAATCCTGATGCCACATCCTTCTTCATAGGGTCCAGCTTCTCAAATAATTTGCTCAGAATACAGATTAAATAGGTATGAAGAGAATACAACCCTGACACACTCCCTTCTTAATGTTAAACCGTGCGGTATTCCCCTGTTCTGTTCATACAACAGCCTCCTGGTCTAGATAAAAGTTTCACATGAGCACAATTAAGTGCTCTGGGATTCCCATCCTTCTCAGTGTAAGCCACGCCATGATTTACTTTGACCTACACAGTCAAATGCCTTTGAATAGTCATTAAAGCACAAATGAACATTTTTCTGGTATTTGTACAAATTATTACTTTATTGACAATAACACTATGTTTCTAGATAATTTAGACACATGTACATGCATGCACGCACGCGTGCGCGCGCGCACACACACACACACACACACACACAGATTTAACAAAAACCCCACAGAATGGAAGATATATTTACTTTGTTTTTAATTCATTGTGGCACAAACCCTCACCCTCACCCCACAATGCACCCCTTGTTCCAGATTGTTCTCATACATATAATGCATAATCATATATTCCTTTTGGACAGTTCTTCCTCTCATTCATTCTAATGCAGTGTTCATTACCTATCCACTCTTTCCCCATTCCCTCACAACCCTCCATGTCTGTCCTATTTTATAACAGTGTTGTTATGCAATATTTCTTCTTTTGTGACTGAGATATTTGATTTAGCATGATATCTCCAAATTTCCCCCATACTGTGTAATTTTTTTACTATTTTATTGCTTTTCTTTATTATGTAGCCTTCCATGGGCATGCATGTATCTGTTTGATTGTTGGCTCTCATGTCCTTAGGGTATATTCCCAGGGTATGCTGGGTCAGATGGTGTTTCTGTTTCCAACTTTCTGAGAAAGCACCACACTATTTTCTGTAGTGGTTATACCATTTTACATTCTCAGCAGCAGTGAATAAGAGTTTCAGGCTCTCCACAAGGTCACCTGCATTTGTTGTTTTCTGTCTTGTTGAGCTTTGTTATTGTTGCTGGGGTGAGATGTTATCTCACAGTTGTTTTGATTTGCATCTCTCTGGTAGCTAGAGATTTTAAACATTTCTTCGTTTTTTCATGTGTTTGTTTGCCATCTGAATGTCTTTTTTGGTGAATCGTCTGTTCATATCCTGTGCCCATTTTGTGACAAACAACTGTGAGATAACAAGAAATAAATGACTTCTTAAAAAAATGTTTTGGTATGCAGTGAGCTTTTAAAAATTAAGTTGCCTATGAATGGTGAAGAAATTTAGATTGTTGACAGCTTTTGTTTACTTGGCTCCACAGTCAACACTCTTGGCATCAGTAGCCAGGAAACTAAAAGACGTATTGTGATAGGAAAGTCTACTGTTAGGGACCTCTCCAAAGTACTGAAGAGCAGTGGTGTCACTCTAGAGACTAAGGTGTGCCTGATATAGGCCATGGTCTTTGCAGTCAGTTGTTATGCATCAGAGAGTTAGACAGTGACTTGGGAGACTAGAAGGAGAATTGATGCCTTTGAGCTGTGGTGCTGGAGAATAATATTGAGAATACCATGGACTGCTAGGAAAACAAACAGATTCATCCTGGAAAGGGTTAAACTGGGCTGCTCCTTGGAGGCAAGAATTCAGAGGCTCCGTCTCACATACTTTGGACATGTTGCAAGGAGGGAGGAGGACATCATGCTTGGGAGGGTGGAGGGACAGCACAGGAGGGGAAGACCCTCTGTGAGGTGGATTGATTCAATGACTGAGGTAATCGGGGTTGGTGTGTTGGAGACAATGAGATTGGCACAGGACAGAGCAGGATTTAGGACTGTTGTACATATGGTCGCTGTGAGTCGCAAGCGACTCGACGGCTCATAACAACAGCAACAACCTATGAATGGGTGTTTGTTTTTTTTTTTTACTAAGCATTGACTGCACAGGATGAGTTTTTGAGAAAACATTTTCCACACCCTCTCACTCTTTGCTCCCGCGTTTTTCACTTCCCCACCTCCCCCTCCTTTCCAATTTGAATACGTGAACTCACTTTTTTGTGTGTTACCTTTTTCATATTGCTTTTCTTTGTTGATAATAATGGCAGTTTCTGTGTCACAGTTTTTTACTACGTCTGTGATGGAAATAGTTTACTACATATATAGTTTTGTGACTGAATTTTTACATTTTAGATTGTACAAATCTTTTGCATTCCTGAAAAGTACCTGGACCAGTCTCTGACACAGAGGCATTTAACATATTAATTGTCTAGCGTGGCCTTCAAAGTATTGATGCTGCAGTAAAACCAAATAACCGTTTACTTTTTAGTATATATTTCTTTTTATACTGGCTCGTGGAAGATAGTGCTTCAAAGTTGTGATTAACTGGAAAATTCTAGAAGTGTTTGAAGTTGATATTAGTAAATCAAAGTTATCATCCATGGCATTTCCTTGTATATTTCCTTTTTCTATCAATTTAGAAAAATCACTGTTCTGTAGCTTTATAGACTTTTTCAAAATTATTGTTGTAATTAACATAGTATTGGATGGTTTGTTGTTGTTTTTTAATTGTTGCTTTTCCTAGAGAATTATTGCTTGATCTACTTCCTTATGGTCTGGATTTTAAAATCAGCACACACATCCCTTCATGTGTGTCCATGAGTATATTTTAAATTTGTGCTTTTCCTCAACTTGGTGCTTTCTTGTTGCCTGCCATATGCCTTCAGGTGACTCTGTGTCTGAGTGGAATCGTGCAACTGCAGGGTTTAGAAGGGCTGAGTATTTGGAAGTAATCATCCGGCTTTTCTCCCAGGCACTGCGGGTTGAACTCAAGCCTTCTGGTTGGCAGCCAAGTTCAGTAAGTGTTTGCAGGGGCTCATTTTACTGAACCTTTGAAGAATTTATTCTCAACGGTTCCTTTACTATTTTAGAGGCTGTCTTGTTCTGTTGATTTCACACTGTGTTATGGCGTATAGGTAAAAATATTTTTGTCATGACCTCGTCTCCATGCCCGTTTGTTGCTGTTCACTGTTAGCCAGCAAGTTGACCCCTGCACAGCAGAACTAAATGCAGCGAGGTCTTGTGCCGTCCCTCCAAGCAATTGCGATTGGACCATTGTGATCTGTGGGGCTTGCTGGACCCTTCTTCCCAGTCCACCTTAGTGTGGAAGCTTCATTGAAACTTGGTTAATATGCAAACCTCCATTTATACACTGGTGGTAACCTCACTCAAAGTTCATTGACGCTCATAAGCTTCTAACTTTATGCGTTTGCCTACTCAAGATACTTGATGTAGGTAGGATCACTCACAATTTGTCGTTGTGCTTTAACTTAACCCTACTCAGCATGTTTTCAAGGCTCATCCATGTTGCCACATGCTCTCTTTATGTTTCTCTTTATGGTTGAATACTTTGTCATTGGGGGGCTCTGGTACAGTAATCCATAGGGAATTTCACTGCTAAAACCAAAAGTCGAGCTTCTCTCCTTTAGAACCCACCATCAACTGTGCAAGAGAAAGATGAGCAGTGTCTTCCCTTGTGATTTGCAGCCCCAGAAACTTGCTAGAGCTGAGCTCTTGAGGTGGCAATGAGAGAATGTGTAAAATGGCTTTATGTCACTTGATCGGCATTTGGATTCTTTCCACCATTTGGTTATTGTGAAGCAGTTCTCTTTTTAATTACGTGTCTAATGAAAGTATAAAATGAAAGCATTTCTAGTCTTAGAACTTGTGTCTCTTACATAAATGGCTTCTCCTTGCTTCTCCCTCCACTTCAGGCGAGAGATGGAGAATAAAGAAACTCTCAAGGGGCTGCACAAGATGGACGATCGCCCAGAAGAGCGAATGATCAGGGAGAAGCTGAAGGCAACCTGCATGCCAGCCTGGAAGCATGAGTGGCTGGAGAGGAAGAACAGGAGAGGGCCTGTGGTGAGTGCTGTGGCTTGTCCGCTAGGAGGAAATGGAAAATGATGCAGAAATATGTCCTCCTGGAAGCATTTCTTTTTTTTTTTTCTTTTTCATTTTACTAACAGTGCTTTTCTTAATATTCTGGCCATTTGGACCAAGACATAGCTAAAGCTATACGATGACAAACTAAGCCGACCCAGGAACAACTATAAGTAGTGGTTGGTTGAGGATTAGTGCTTAAAGCAACACTGCCCTCTAATGTCAGTAGCTAACAATCCTTTTTTATTGGAGGTTATAGTGTCACAGAAGGTGGCAGTCAGAATAAAAAAGAATTTTTGAACAATTAAAGTCTTCTAAAATTTGTGTGAGTTCTCTGGACTCCTTGAACTGGAGAGATTAAAACAGATCTCTCTCATAAATGTAGAAACTGCTATGGAACTGAAACCACAAGATAGGGAGGATTTTTGGCTTGTTTTTATCTTTGAGAAACCAGTTGTATTGTTGCTTTACTGCGTGTAAAATAAGAACACCCAGATAGATACCCAAGGCACTTTTTTATTTTCTCTCTGTTCATGTTCTCATTTCCTCACAGATATACAGATAATTGGGTATCTAATCCATGTATTTCTCCTCAGGAGAAAGTTCGGAGGTCTCCTCCCATGCAATTAAACTCTGCCATTGAAAACCCACTGGAAGGTTACCTGTGGGTTGTTTCTGACTTGATGGCACATAACAACAACAATAAGACATATGAATACTCCCTTACACTTTACCGTTTACAGATTCCATAGTACTCTTAAAGAGTTAGTTTCTTTAGAGTCCTCTTAGGAAACCTCCTTTAGTTTCTCCATTTTGTATCATGTTTTCTGTATCCTGCATTAAATCCTTTCTTAAAACATGAGTGACGCATAACATATCTGGGAAAATAAAACTTAGTTGTTAGTTGCTGTTGCTATGTGCTATTGAGTTGCCTGCGACTCATAGCGACCCTGTGTACAACAGCTTTGAAGCCTGCCCTGTCCTGAGCCAGTCTCACTGACTGACACACCTACCCCCCCTTCACCCGAGTTTCTATGTCAGTCTATTTCATCCAGGGTCTTCATCTCCTGTGCTGTCCCTCTACCCTTCCGAGCATGATGTCCTCCAAGAACTGATCCCTCGTGACTTAGGTATAATAAATAAAATTAGAGTTACATACAAATATCACAAGGCAAATTATTGTGGATTCTACGTGTACCCAGTAGAACAGAGCAGTAGGGAAAGGCTATGCAAAAACTATGACGTTTGCCCTTTTAGTCATGGCAGGGTTAGAGCTGGAAACACTACTAGTAACACAACAGAATTTATGTTTGTGATATGGGTCTGTAAACTTCTGGTACCTTTTGCTGTTTTTAATTTCTTTTTATTATACTTATCAAACTATTTGAGCCCTCAAAATTATATCCGGTATTTATTTCAAAGTTCTGTATTTTGAAAATACAGATGGCAAAATATCTACATTGATTCTTTTTAATACATTAACTTTAGAAGATACTGTTGTTGGTATGTGCTGTCAAGTTGATTACAGTTCATAAGGAGCATGTAAGCAATCTGAATCCTGCCCTATCCTGTTCCATCCTCACCCTCTCTGATATGCTCTAGAAGTTAGAATGCTTATTTTTCACACCAACTTACTTGGCACTGTTGATTTTGAAATAAAATTCTTTTGGTATACACTACAAAATGTAATGCCAGTTGGAAAATTATGAAGGGTAATATTTTAACTGGTGTTCCAGTCTAAACCACTCTACTTAGACTTAAACAGTTAAAAATAGTCTTTAATTAATGATCCAGAATGGCCAAGAGAAGAACATCATGCTCAGAAGGGTGGAGGGACAGTGCAGGAGAGGAAGACCCTGGATGAGATTAATTGATCCAGTATCTGGGCAACAGGGTTTGGTGTGTTGGAATTAGTGAGACTGTCTCAGGACAGGGCAAGCTTCAGAGCTGCTGTACATAGGGGTCACTGTAAGTCACAGGCAACTCAACAGCACATAACAACAAAAACATACTATATTGGTTGTTTTTTATTTAAGCCTCATGTTTAGAGTCAACAAGGAGAGGGCCTTTGTATATAAAAATTGGTGGTTATATTTTGGAGAAATATTCTTCTAAGTGGTACAGCGCTCGTCTTTCAGTATGCTGTACTGAGGTAACCTGGCGTTGCTGTGATGTGAACCTTGTGCCACTGGGGTGTCAAATGGAATAACGGGTTCCCATGGTGGACAGTGTTTTGGTGGAACTACCAATTTGGGACAGGTTTGGAAGCAAGAGTAGCATCCCCTTCCTAAATAGCATGCCACTGGAAACTCTGTGAGCTTTGATAAATGAAGATGATTATAGGAACGCTTCAGGCCTTTTGTTCATAAGGTCACTGTGAGTTGTGCTCAATTTGATGGCAATCAACAACAAAAAAGTTATACTAGATAAAAGTTGCCATATCATCTGGAATATTCTTGTCTTGTTTCATAGTAAAAACTCATGGGGCTCATTTCCTAGCCTATTCTGTAATTTGCTTTTCTCATGTATTCTGACTTAACCAAAATATTGAAATACTTTTGACTCAGGTGGTGAAACCAATCCCTGTTAAAGGAGATGGATGTGAAATGAGTAACTCGGCAGCTGAACCTCACGCGGAGGGCCAGTCGAGTGCCACCTCCACTGCCCCCAAAGGACGCCGCAGCCCCTCTCCTGGCAGCTCCCCTTCGGGCCGCTCCGTGAAGTCAGAGTCTCCTGGAGTAAGGAGGAAAAGGGTCTCCCCGGTTCCTGTAAGTTTATGTGTCAACAAATATGGTCACTTGGTACAGTTTTCAGACTCCAGTTAACAAAGCATAAGAAAGTGTTTTTTCATCTTTCATTTATTCTGTAGTTGTCAGGTAGAGGCCAGATTTAAGTTCATTTCTGAAGATCCAGTAGGTCAAAATTACCTTTATAATAAAACAGAGATACTGCTTGCCTTTTTTCACGGCATGAACATTGCTGCTGATGGTACATTCAAAAGCAAAGGCAGGGCAGATTGTCGTTGCCTCCACCATCATCAAGGTCCTATCATTCAAAATTGTATTCTTCACTGTCATGAACTGACAGAGAACAGATGCCTGATTGACTTAAGAATCCTTGATGAAGCAGAGAAAATTAAATTTCCTAAATCTCAACTCTTTGCAATCATTTGTTATGCATCAGAGAGTTGGACAATGACTAGGGAGGATAGAAGGAGAATTGACGCCTTTTAGCTGTGGTACTGGAGAAGAGTATTGAATGTACCACGGACTGCCAAGAAAACAAACAGATTCATCCTAGAGAGGGTTAAACCAGGCTGCTCCTTGGAGGCAAGGATTCTGGGGCTTCGTCTGACATACTTTGGACATGTTGTAAGGAGAGACAGGTCTTTAGAGAGGGACATCATGCTGGGCAGAGTGGAGGGACAGCGCAGGAGGGGAAGACCCTCTATGAGGTGGATTGATTCAGTGACTGGGGTAATCGGGATGGGTGTTTCAGAGGCAATGAGATTGACACAGGATAGAGCAGGGTTTAGGGCTGTTGTACATAGGGTCGCTATGAGTCGCAAACGACTCGACGGCACATAACAACTACAACAAATCTCAACTCTGGATACTTACCTTATTTTAATGCCTATGTACTGAAATTGGAAGAATGGATTCTGGTACATACCAGGCTATTTCAGGGAAAAGCATTTGAGCAGTTGTTATAGTTGTGAGCTGAACTAGTTGCTTCTTCATGGAGCAAAATTTTTACCTGACAGAATGAAATTCAAACATGAGTATTTGGTAGAGATTTTTTTTTTTTTAACGTTAGTGGAGATACTATCCTGTTGGTGCTAACATCTAAGTGTCATTTTCTCTGGTAATAAAATTTAAAATTTTAAGCTAAAATTAAAAACTATGGAAAATTTATATCCACCACCATACATTTGATAGAATTAATAAAATACTTAGATTTTTCTAATGATATTGGTGGAGTTAGTAATTAATGTGGGTTTGGTTGGTTGGTTGTTTTTTAAATGTACTATCTGGTGAAATTTTGTATAGTTCTGTAACTTAGCTGGTAATTTTCAAATGACCATTGCAAAGAGGTACAAAAATCATGTATAGATAAAAGATGCATACATTCAGAGTCCAAAAAAGCCTATCTGGGATTAGGTAACAGAGTAGGAAGTGACTTTTTAATATGATTTTAGATTCCGTGTTCTCCTGTCCTTAAGCAACCACTTTAAGACTTCCTATGAGACTTCCTAAGAGTGATATTCAGATTTCTCTGAGTGTTAAAATGCATTCAGCTATTTGAGCTACACGTCTCTCTGTGTATATGTGCATGTGCATGTACACACATATAGGCACACTACCTTGTGGAACATGAGAGTTTCTCCATGTTATTGGAGATTACCAGTTGCAGAAGCATATTTAGTAAAAGCTTAACTTGTATCCAGGAGCTGAGTATGTCATTTTGACTGCTAGACTCAAGTTAACTTTGCTAATGATGTATAATTTTAAAGTTTTTTAAAATTTTTATTTACATCATACATTGCAAAAGAAAATTATATCCAAAAAAAAAAGAAAATTATATCCACCAGATGCTCTGCCGGGGAAGGAGGGACAATCTCCTCCTGTACCAGTCAGATCTGATTTGACGGTACACTCTCACACACACACACACACAAAAAAGAAAATTATAAATTTAAAACTTTATCGTTTTAAAACTACTACATAGTTGTACTTTCAATCAGACTTCTCAGATGTAGAAGTAATTGTGATTTTTAAAACACTTCATCTGAGGTGACTAAGGCAAAAACATTTTGTGTAATTGTATTCCATTATATTCATAAGAATGTAATCTGCTATGTAGCGGTCTTATTTGGTTTTTAGAGTTTTTGCCATTATTTGTTTTTGTGGTGGTTGTTTTGGGGAGATGGGTAAACATTTCTATTGAGAAGTGAGAAACTTACCTCATTTTTTTAAATGTCGTGAAGTTTCAGAGTGGGAGGATCACACCACCCCGAAGAGCCCCTTCACCCGATGGCTTTTCGCCATACAGCCCAGAGGAGACAAACCGCCGTGTCAACAAAGTGATGCGAGCCAGGCTGTACTTGCTGCAGCAAATAGGACCCAACTCCTTCCTGATTGGAGGGGACAGCCCAGACAATAAGTACCGAGTGTTTATTGGGCCACAGGTAGGACTGACTTATCAACCCTTGATATATATTTTTAGTATTATCTGCCAGTTAGGTGTAATATACTTATGCAGATTGTGCTGATTGCTTCATGTGTTTTAGAATAGAGACTTAATCTATTTACTAAAAAGTAAGAGCTTAATATGTAGAGAGAGCTACAAGAGTTTTTGTATTTTATATAAGAATAGTAAAGAATATGTTCTTAGAAAGCTTAGCCCCATAAACTTGGCAATAGATGTAATCAGCTAAGTTCGACCAGAGCTATGGATTTGTTGGCCCATGGGTTTCTTTCTTAACCTTTTAGAACTGCAGCTGTGGACGTGGAACGTTTTGTATCCATCTGTTATTTGTTATGCTCCGGGTGTTTCAACTAGAACCTTCAGATCCAATGTTATGGAGGAAAACATTAAAGAATTTTGAGGTAAATTTTCACAAATACTTGAGAGCTAATTGTCAACAAGTCATAATTGTTTATTCCCCAAATTTCTCCATGAACATTGAATTTAAGTAAGTAGTCATCATTTTGAAAGTATGAAGGTATATAAGAATTTGATAGATAAGAGTTTTTTTATGATCCACTGACTAGTCTTTTATTTTAAAATTAAACAAAACACTGACCTAGTATAAAATTGTTATGTTATTATTTTGAAACAGTTGTAAGCTTTACTTAAATTGAACCTCTAAAACGCTTTCATATGTATAAATACGGCACGGATGTCATTGTCATTGTCTTTTTCCAATGTTAGGTTGAGAGTTTGTTCCAGAAATATCACAGTAGGCGTAGCTCAAGGATCAAAGCTCCATCTCGTAACACCATCCAGAAGTTTGTTTCACGCATGTCAAATTCCCATACATTGTCATCATCTAGTACTTCTACATCTAGTTCAGAAAACAGGTTAGTACTTTTCAAGGAACTAACAGCATTAACCCAGTGTTGCATTTTAATACAGAGGTAATTTTTAAATATTAATTAAATCTCTACTTGTTAAATTATTCTAAAATTTATATCGTTGTTGAATCTTGGCTTTCAAGTTAAAATAAGTTTGAAGAGTATTAAAGATCATCTGAGTGTAAATATGGACAGTTTTATCCTGAAAGCTACTACAGTGTTGGAAAATGTCAGAATACATTGAATGTGTACTTTATCATAATTGATAAGAAAAATCAAGTGGCAAAGATAAGATCCCTAGTGACAAGAAGTGGCTGTTGAGTCATTTCAGCTCGGCTGTGTTGTCTCCTTTGTTCTTGCCTCCCTCTCATTGGGTACGTAGGTTTTGATCACTGCTGCATAGGCAGTGAAGCTGAGGCACTGTAATAGAAGGGAATGTCGGTAGCTCTATTTTAATTCTAGAAGGAAGGCAAAAGGGTTTTCTAAATTCTAAATGTAAGAGGTTTTGGGTTTTTTTAATTCTATGGTGGGTTGTTGTTTTTTTTTTCCCCCCCTCTATGGTATTTTCTAAATATAAGGGTTTTTTTGTTTTGTTTTGTTTTTTACTCTATGGCGTTGCTGTTGTTTCATGGAAAGAACTATGCTCACTATCAGAGGAATCCCATTTTTGGGCTCTTTCTCCCATGAGAATGTTAGCATCCTCTTTTGAGAGAATAGATGGCTTACTAAGAGGTGCAGTTGCTGTTTTACTAAAGACCTCAATCTTTTCTATTACCTAATTTGCTGATAATGAATTTCTAACTCAAGGATCATAGATGTAGGCCAAAATTACAGGTAGATTTTTTTTTTTTCTATGCTTGGTATTATAAAAATTTATACAGTTTTCTTGGTCATACTGATTTCTTGGTTTTGATATAAATGTAAATAAAGACTTGTAATTTCCATCAAGTAAAAGTGACTTCCCAGAAAAGAGTAGTGATTCTCTTGTGAGGGCACTTCCTGTTATATTCCCAGCTCACCTCAGTTTGAGAAGCACTGATTTCAGTAAGTTCCATCCTTATCCCATCAGTCTTTTAGGTACTATAACTCTACCAAAACTCATGAAGAATGAAGACGTGATGGTACTACTAGAAAAAGGACTTGGAGAGAAGAGGGATCAAGAATGATAAAAAAATACTCAAGGCCAACTAACTTTTCAAACCACTATATACCAGAATTAAATTACTCAGAAGACTTAAGAAAAAACAATTCCACAATTTATCCCAATTGTATGTCAAGTGCAATTTTATTTCAGTGTTTGTTGACTAAAAAGAGAAATAACATTTTAGAGTCATTGCCTGCCCATTTTTTACCAAATACACGTTTTATAAGCATTGTTTGTGTGTAGCATCAAGTTGGAAAAGACTCATTAAAGTTTCTTTGGGATTGCAGTGCAATGGCATTCTGATGGCCTAGTGGCAAGAAGTTGCACTATAATCCTGAATGGGTGTGGTTCAAACCTACAAGCTGCTCCTTGGGAGACTAGGGAATCTCCTCCCATACGATTAATTGCCTCTGAAAATCCACCAGAGGGTCAGCTACGGGTCCAATCCAACTTAAAGTACACATCAACAATAACAAGAGCCACCAGAACGCCCTACCAAAAGATTTAAGCATTTAAAAATGTGCTTGTTGACTATTTAGATGTCTTCTTTGGTGAATGACCTTAGGTCATTTTTGCCATTAATATTTTTGTAATATATTGATGTAGAAATCCTTTCTCTTATTTTATTCTTAATCTTTACTCCACTACATGAAGCTATGTAATAATGAAGAGATAGGATAGTAAGATGAGGAAAAGACTAGGAAGTGTGCCTTGACCTTGGGAGCTTCATCATTTGCTGAATGTTGGTTCATCTTTTTCTGAAAGTGTTTTAAACACTTGGATAACTGATTGCTGTGTCAGTCACTAAAGCTGGTTTTAGGGGATTACGATTTAACATAGTAGTAGACTTATAATATGGACTCAGTAGAAAATACAGTCTTACCACAGAATCTGGACTTTGTAGGCTACGGCTATCTTTCTCAAATATTAAAGTCTAATGATAGCTCATTATCCACTAAACAGAGCTCCTCCTTACTCACCGCCCACTCTCTCCAGATTGTTGTTGTGTGCCATATTGTACTGGGAAAATCTTCAGTCAAGGACCTCTCCACATTATTGAGGAGCAGTGACTGTTTTTTGGGTTTTTTTTTTTCAATCACTTGCTGTACATCTGAGAGCTGGACAATGAATAAGGAAGACAGAAGAATTGATGACTTTGAACTATGGTGCTGGAGAAGAGCACTGAATATCCCATGGACATAATAGAATAAACAGTGTATTGGAGAAGGTGCAGCCAGAGTGCTCCTTGGAGGCAAAGATGACAAAACTCTCTCTCTCTCATAGTTTGGGGATGTTACTAGGAAAGGCTCTTCATTGGAGAGGGACATCATGCTGGGGTGGTGGAGCTATAGAAAGGAAACCCCTCAGCCAGATGGATTTACATAGTGACCAGAGCAGTGGGCTTGAGTGTGTCAGACATGGTGAGGATGGCACAGCATGGAACAGGGTTCTGATCTGTTGTTCACAGGATCATTATGAGTTGCCCTCCACCTAACAACACCAGTGATGGCTCTGTCACTGATTTTATGATATTGGGCTAGTTGTTTAACATCTCAGGGCCTTGTCTTTATGTTGTAATGGAAATACTGTTTACTGTTGGAGTTATGTGTCATCAAGTCAACTGCAACCCATAGTGACCGTATGAACAATGGCACTGAATTTTGCACTCTGTGCTGTCATCAGCATCTTCAGTACAGTTGTACTTACTGTAATCACTCATCTCATTCAAAGTTTTCCTTTCTTACACTGATCTTCCACCTTTCAAAACATGATGTCCTTCTCGAAGGACTTTCCCCTCCTTACAGCATGCCGAAGTATGTGGGCAACTCTGTGAAACAGAGTTCCACCAACCTTCCCTCTAAGAGGCACTCTCCTTTCACTTTATCCAGGACAGAGCTGTTTGTTCTCTTGGCAGTCCATAGCTATTCTGTACACAAAGGCATTGATTATTCTAATGTCATCCTTATTCTTTGTCCAGTTTTAAAATGCATAGCAAGTAACTGAAAAAGACCATGACTTAGATCAGGCTCTGTTGGACTTTAAATTGACATCATTGCTCTTTTGGTACTCTGGAGAGTTCTTGACAGCAGCCATTCCCAGTGAAACTTGTCCTTTGATTTCTTGACTGCTTGAACCAAGGGTGTTGATTATGGATCCAATTATGATGAAGTTGTGGACTGCTTCAGTCTTTGTCTATTATGATGTAGCCTGTTGGCCTAATGGTGAAGATTTATGTTTTCTTGATCTTGAAATGAAATCTACATTGAAGTCCTTGGACTGCAGATCCTTAGTCGTCCTCACTGTCAGCATGAAAAGCTATGTCATCTACCTAAGGCAGTTTTTTGATGAGTCATCCTCCCATCCTGATGCCACATTCTTTATTCTAAAGTCTAGTTTAGCACAGCATACATATTGAAAAGGTATGGAGAAAAGATATGCTCTGACACACACTTGGTTTTGAACCATACTGTTTTCATAAAACAGCTCCTTAGACTAGGTAAAGATTTCACATGAGCACCATTAAATGTTCTGAGATTCTTGTTCTTCTCAATGTTAGCCTTAATTTGTTTTGATCCACGCAGTCAGGTGCCTTTGCATAGTCAGTAAAGCACAGATAGGCATTCTTCTGGTGGCCTCTGCTTTCTGCCAAGTCCATCTCACATCAACAATGATTTCTTTAGCGATGTAGCCTCTTCTAAATCCAGCTCAACTTTCTATAGTTCTCTGTCAATGTACTTAGCTAGTTGTTTTTAAATAATCTTAAGAAATATTTTACTTGCATGTGATATTAATGATACTGTTCGGTAATTTCCACATTCTGTTGGGTCACCATTTTGGGGAATAGTAATAAATAGGTATCTCTTTCAGTCATTTGGCCAGGTAGCTGTCCAGATTTCTTGAGCACATTTAGGGCAGCCAACATCTGTTTGTTGGAATATGTCAGTTGACTTTCCATCAGTGCTTGAGGACTTAACTGTTTGCCAGTGCCTTCAGTGCAGGTTTATCTTCTTTCTTTATTACCATTGGTTCTTGGTCATAGGCTAGTTTCTGAAAAGATTCTCTGTCAGACAATTCTTTTTGGTATTGTGACTCAGTTTTGTACTCCTTCCTCTTTTGATGCTTCCTGAATCATTCAAGACTCTGCTCATAGCATCCTTCAGTATTACAACTGGAGTCTTCAATTTGTTCTTCAGTTTTCTCAGCTTGTGAAATGCCGAGGACGTGCTTCCCCTTGATTTTCTGACGACAGCTCTTCACACAGTTCATTATAATATTTTGCTTTGTGTTCTCCAACTATTCTGTGAAATCTTTTGTTCAACTCTTACTTTGTCATTTCTTCCCTTTGTTCATTACATTCATTACTTCATGAAAGTTTAGACAGAAAGGCTTGTAAGATAGGATGTGAATACCCTTTCCAATCTGGCTACCCATAAAATAACTACTGTTGACATTTTGATGCAATTTTTATAAATTCTGTGAATCAATGAAATAAATGTCTCCTGCGCACACAGAGAAATCATTATTTCTTTTAACATCCTTGTAGTTTTTCACTAGAAATTAATACCATATTTCCAGTAAGCAAACTACTCTAGGATTTGGCTGTGGAAACACAGGCAAACTAGCTATTCTTTTACTTAATATATCAGAACATTTTTCTAAGCCAGCACTAAAGATAAAATTTTATTATCACGATAATGTCATTTTAAATTGAGTGCCACAATTTTTTGTGCTCTTGCTTTTTAATTAACTATTTAGTCTATCTCTGATATTTTTTAAACATCTTAAATTCAATGAAAAGGTATGTGTGTGTGTGTATAAAATACTTATGTGAGATAGCATCCTAAAAAATACACATTTTAAATCCAAAGCTGTATGCATTTAATCTGGTGGCATGGTCCATACAGAGTTGTGCTACTAATCCAAAAGCCACACCACTCTGGTGTTTCCTCTCCGCCATCGACTCAGAAGAGTGTTTAGAAATCTTCCATGCAATTCAAAGCCTCAGAAATCAAATGGAGAGTCAGTTAGAGGTCAAGTTGGTAACCACTCAACAGCAATGAGGGGTTTAAAGGGTTAATTTCCAGAATTTTAGTTTTTATTCCTTTTACCAATGAGAATGGGAATATATGCTGGATGTTACTAGTCTCTTTCACTTTTTCCAATTAGATTATCGAAAAACAAAATAAATGAAATAGCGTATTAATTTAATATGCATTTTGTACTCACTAATAGATATCTTTTCAATGCTTATTAAATGTTAGTATTTTTAATGCTGGTGTGGTTTTTTTTTTTGCACTACTGGTATTTTTTTTTCCAAAGCACTTTTGAGTATTTGGACTATACAGTGCCCTCTAGCCACATGCACCATCAACAAGTTGATTCCAGCTCATCCCAACCCTACATCGAGTTTCTGAGGCTGCACATTTTTACAGAGGAGATTGCCCATCTTTCCTGCTGAAATGCTGGTGGAATCAAACTGTCAGCATCTGGGTTAGTTGTTCATGGAGGCAGTTAGCAACAGCAACATTTTTTAGATACATAGCATACATATATCTTCTGCAAGAGTATAGCTCATCATTGAATTATATTCACAGCAACCGTAGATCAGCCCACATCCATCAACTTGAAATTACTATGTATTTATAGACTAAAAATATTAAGAATTTCTGGTTAATTTGTTCATAATGTATAAAAGCAGAACCTGTTTTCAGCATATAGCATTCATTCTTGTGGTGGTGGTGTTATTACTGGGTTTGTTAATACTTTGTCATTCCTTTTTTCTAGTATAAAAGATGAGGAGGAACAGATGTGTCCTATCTGCTTGTTGGGCATGCTTGATGAAGAAAGCCTCACCGTGTGTGAAGATGGCTGCAGGAACAAGCTGCACCACCACTGCATGTCCATTTGTATGTGGCTCTTTTTTTTCCCTCTGGGAAAACTTAATGTTTTTACTGTATGAGTTAGTGATGAAGGAAGGAAAAACCTCACCTTGAAATCTTAAGCAAATGGAGGTCTAGGGTCTGTCAAGAAGTGATCTTGTTAGGAGAAATGCAGTGAAGAAGGAGCATATGGAACCTGAAGCATCATTCTGGTCCAGAAAGTGTATAGAGAGGGTAGAAGGCTTGTGTAACAGAGAAGGTAGCTTTGAATGGCATTGATACGTGAACATACGGGATAGAAGGTTTGGGAAACTAGTTAAGCACGTGTGTCCTCATAACTGACAGAATGGTGATCATGACTATTTAATTTGCTGCATTTACCTACATTGAAGTAAATATTGTATCAAATGATTTTTGAGATTCTTTTTATATAAATCTTACACTAGATATTAGAAACAGTTACTACATACAAATACCTATAGGTAGACATTTACGTTTTTATGCACTTTTCCCCCTTCTTTAACTGTTTCAGGGGCAGAAGAATGTAGAAGAAATCGAGAACCTCTCATCTGTCCTCTCTGTAGGTCCAAGTGGAGATCTCATGATTTCTATAGGTAACCATTTTGAATTAATGACTTGAATGTATTTCAGTAAACATGTTCTCAGTGTTTTATTTAAGTTTGCTCATTTTCTTGGAAAATTATGTTGATTTTTCCTTTCAGCCATGAATTGTCAAGCCCTGTGGATTCCCCTTCCTCTCTCCGAGCTGCACAGCAGCAAACCATGCAACAGCAGCCTTTAGCTGGATCCCAAAGGAGGACCCAAGAGAGCAATTTTAACCTTACTCACTATGGAGCTCAGCAGATCCCCCCTGCTTATAAAGACCTCGCTGAGCCTTGGATTCAGGTACAGAGCCCTGTAATCTTCCCTTGTTACAGAAACAGACCAGTAACTGTTGTTCTGTTCTCTCTCCCTGCCTTCAGTTACTTACAATTTAAGGAAATCTGTTTACTTCTCCTAAATCATGACTCTTACCGCATTGAAAATAGAAATACTTTTGGTGTTAATACTTTACTACAAAGCTTGCAGTGACCATGTTAGTATATTAGACCTCTGAATCACTAGGATTTATTTTCTTTTTCTTTTTAATCAGCATGTTGTTGTTGACATTTGCCTTCGAGTTGGAATGAACTCACAGCCAGCCCTCCAATGAATTTTCAGTTTGTCACATGGGAGGAGATTGCCCATCCTTCAGAATATTAGCAAGTCATTATGACTAGTAAAATTTGACAATTTATTAATCACATCCTACTTTTTAAATATTTTTAATGCTATGTAATAAAGCCCCTTATCCGTTCATGAGACTCCATAATAAGAATGTTCAGGTTGATACTAAGCTATTCAATGCCGTTCTTTGAAGACAGTCTTCTAGTTTGTTTTGCAAACATGGTTTGGACTAGGTTATGTATTCCTTGTTTTGTTTTGGGTTTGGGGTTCCCCCCCCAGTAATTAAGAATATGAAAAACAAAATTAAGGTTGAAAGCGTGGAATGCTGCTTACAGTACAAGGAATATAAGAAATGTATGCTAGTTGATTTTATTCTCTTTATCATTACTTTATAAACAAACCAAACAAATAATGTTTATATTCCAAAAAGTTGCATTTATTTATCTCTAATGGTGAGAAATTTTTCAGAAGGTGAGTTCTTCTAGGCATGAAATCGTTTTTGTTAGTAAGTCTGTTTTTGTTCTTCAGGGACTCATGTGGCTTTACAGGCCTAGTAGAGATAACTCCAATCACACGTATATTCATTGGAATGATATCATTATCTTTTGCAAATTTGGACACAAGCATTTTTCTTTAATCATTTCCACTTTTCCATCTCATTTTAATTCCTCCTGTTTTTGTATAGTGATTTAAAAATCATATATTTAAGACAGAAGCCAAATTTTTTAAAGTCTGTGACTTTATTTTCTATAAGAGATACACTATATTTTTTGAAATCTCTAATTCCTTTCTTGATTTTTCTTGGTTTTTGTTCTTTTTCCAGATTCCACTCCATTTGTTTCTCTATAGGATTACTTAACGTGAATACAGAGTTGAGTTTCTTCACTTAACACGTTGCCGCACACTTTTAAATTGACAACCGTTCTTAGAAACACATTTTTTCCCCCTGCTATAGTCGTCATTTGCAGCATCGTGTTAATAGTTTGTATAATGGAAGGGTGTAGGCAGCGGTTAGCCATGGAAATATATGTATACCCATTTGACTGCTTAACAGAGTTTACTCTTAGGTTTACTTGAGCTAATAATAAATGCTAATACTTGTAATAGTTACTGTTTAATCTTGACTACAGAATTCCTCCTTATAAATGTAAATATAGGCATATTTATGATTGGTATGTTGTTGGTTGGGTTTTTTTTAAGGAAACAGCTTTTTATTTTTATTTTATTATTTTGTGTGTGTGTTGTGTGTACCATCAAATCAGATCTGACTGGTACAGGAGGAGATTGTTCCTCCTTCTCCAGCAGAGCGTCTGGTGGATTTGAACCGTGCACCTCTGGGAGCATATTTATGATTTTGTAATATGATGAAGATTAAGAAAATGTCATGGTTTGTTTTGGTAATCCAAAATCAAACTAACTTCAAAATCCACTAGCTTTAGTAGTTTTCCTTCGCCTTCAATTTGTCCTGTTTCTTTGATACAGGTGTTTGGAATGGAACTCGTTGGCTGCTTATTTTCTAGAAACTGGAATGTAAGAGAGATGGCCCTCCGGCGTCTTTCCCACGATGTTAGTGGGGCCCTGCTGTTGGCCAATGGGGAAAGCACTGGAACTTCAGGGGGCAGTAGTGGAAGTAGCCCAAATGCTGGAGCTACCAGTGGGTCCCAGACCAGTATCTCAGGAGACGTGGTGGAGGCGTGCTGCAACATTTTGTCCATGGTCTGCGCTGACCCTGTCTACAAAGTGTACGTTGCTGCTTTAGTAAGTAGCTTTATTCATGATCTCATTGTAGGGGAGTTTTGTGGAGGTGTTTTTGTTTTCAGTGTTTCATAGATACTGTTATTAAGATACGATTTAACCTCCTTGTGCTGCTAGTCAGAAGGTTGGTAGTTTGAATTAGCCAACCACTTCACGTGAAGATGAAGCACTCTGTGTCATAAAACTTGACAACCTTGGAATTGCCATGGGACAGTTCTCATCAACTGGTAGGGTCGCTGTGAAGCAGAATTAAGAATTAGCCTGAACCGAGTAGATTTAGGGTTTTCCCTGTTTGTAACTACATTTTCTAACTTGTCATGGAAAAATAAAAATTTTCTTCTTGCATATTGTTAGTTGCTGTTGTGTTGGCTCTGGGCGACCTTATGTATGGCAGGACAGAACACTGCCCCGGGCCATGCCATCTTCAGTTATTGGTACACTTGGGTCTGCTGTGGAGACTGCTATATTTTGAGTGTCTGTCAGACTAGGGGATTCATTTTCCAGCACTGTATTGGACAGTATTCTGTTGTGATCTGTGGATTCTCATTGGCTTATTTATTTTGCCAAGCCTTCTTCTTAATCTGCTTTATTCTGGAATTTTTGTTGTAACCTACCAGCCATGAGTAATTCTGGTGGTAATATTGTAATAATTTCCAGCATTTTGGCAACCTTTAATAAGCTACCACAGTTGAGCTAGATGGATTTGGTGCTCTGTAATCCAGGAAACTTTTCTTTCCCAGTTAGCCTTCATTTGGAATTTTTTTTTTTTAATGCTGTTGAGAAGATACACACACACAAAAAACAAAACCCATAAACCAATTTAGTAGTTGTTCTGTATACAGGTTAGTGACACTGATTACAGCTTAATGATACTGATTATGTTTTGCTAGTTGTGTGTCCATTTTCTTCCTCATTCTGACTTGACCTTCCTCATTAACATGAACTCTATGTTCCCTGAGCTGCCCATCAAATCTTTGCTGTTAGCAGTTTGACCCCATGTAGATAGATCTTAAGAGTATAGGGTCAAGGCAGACATTACTTGTTAGTCAAGCTGAATTATTATTTAACTTCAAGAAGGCTTTAAGGAAATACTTTTCATTTAAAATTTAAAGATTAATTTGAGACAATAGTTTTAGGAGTTCATTCAGACTTCATGCCTTCAGAAAGTGTGGACTTTATGATAATTTGAATTTTTCTGTTTCTCCTCTTTGGATAAAGATTCCTCTATGGACTCCTTGATCAAAATGTTCAGTCTTTAACTTTTCTTGAAACACAGGCTCCGACTTAGAACCGAGTTCTTTTCTAATGATTATGTTTCAAGTTAGTTCTGGCCTAAGTAGATAGATTATCTGCTTTCCTCCCAACTTTGATTATTATTAGTGCCTTTAATTACCATTATCTTTATAGGTCTGGTCTTTATCTTTCAAAATTGGTGTGAGAATGATAATAGCAAGTGAAACACTACAACATTGTGTGGTGTTGGTGCTGTTAGATTCCATCCAGTTGACTGCAGCTCATAGTGACTCTGAACAACAGGCTAAATCTTGTCTCATCCTACACCATCCTTACAGTCTCTGATAGTGTCTGGTATATATTTATTACCTACAGTAAAATGTACAAAAACACAAATAACATTAAGCTGGTGTGTCTCATTGTCTCCTTCAGCCTTTGGTCTTTCTTGAGTGTGATGCTTTGGAAGAACACCTGCATTTCTTTTGTAAAATGTCCATCACTTGGGTTTATATGGTGTGTCTTCATGATTAAACTCAGCATATGTATTACGTTGGGAAAGAATATCATAAAAATGGTACTGTGTCTGTCTTACGGCTTCAGATCAAGAGGCACATGAGACTGACTTCTGTTCCTGGTAATGTTAACTTTAACCAGTTAGTTAAAATGTGTCTTAGAGGTTTTTTCACAGTAACATTAACTCTTAAAAAACTATCTTGTGGGGACATGCTTTGAAGTTATGTAAATAACTATACTTCTTGCCAAAATTCTTCCCATTAGTTTTTGCAGCCATTTATGATTAATTCTTGCCTGGAACAGTTAATATGTTGTTTCCCAAATGATAGTTTTAAAAGCTTTTATTCTACCTACATTAATTAGAATTCTGCTGTAGGGAAAAATTTCCTTCATAGGCATCTATTCATTTTATTATTCCGTTATCTATTTGTATCATGGCTTTGCATCACATACTTAGGGCATGTTGCTAGGAGGGGCTATTCCTTGGGAAAGGACATGATACTGCAAAGGGTGGAAGATCAGCTAAGGAGATGAAGACACTTGACCAGATGGACTGACACAGTGACTGCTGCAATGGGCTCTTGTGTGTCAGGAAGTGTGAAGATGGTGTAGGGTAGAACAGGGTTCAGATCTTTTGTTCATAGGGTCGCTGTGAGTCACATTTGGGACTCAGTAGCACTTAACAAAAACAGCAACAACAATAATCATGGATTCTTTTTATATTCAGTGGATTATAATCTCTTCTGAGCATTATTATTTTGTTGCTGAGCTTGTCCCAGATTAAGTTTTTGTTTGAAATGCTTTTTAAATGTAATTAAACTGACCTTCAGATTTTTTTCTCCCTAGAAAACATTAAGAGCCATGCTGGTATATACTCCTTGTCACAGTTTGGCAGAAAGAATCAAACTGCAGAGACTTCTCCGACCAGTTGTGGACACCATTCTGGTCAAGTGTGCAGATGCCAATAGGTAAGGAAGGACCTGACAGATGCACTGCTTCAGAGCATCTCGCTTAAGAAGTGCCTGCTTTGCACAAAGAGTGCTGACACATTTCTTAAATAAATCCTTGGATGTTGTTTTCTATTGTGACATTTTGCATTAAACTCTAGTTCTTAAAACAAGCACGAAAAACCTCCTTGTAGTTTAAAGTTCTTAAAAAACAGAAGAACTAATGGAAAGTAAAAGTCATGTTAACAAAATACATTAATCTCCACATTCTTTTTTTTTTATTTTTATTTTATTATTTTTGTGTGAGTGTACCATCAAATCTTATCTGACTGGTACAGGAGGAGATTGTCCCTCCTTCCCCGGCAGAGCATCTGGTGGATTTGAACCATGCGCCTCTGGGATTGTAGTTGCAGCTTCTTACCACTAGGCCACCAGAGCTCCCCTTCCACATTCTTACTGTATGATGATTGATTCTTTTCTGTTCTAAAGTGGCATTCTTTTTTTTTTTTTTTTTTAAATGTGTGTACCGTCAAATTGGATCTGACTGGTACAGGAGACGAATGTTCCTCCTTCTTCAGCAGAGCATCTGGTGGATTTGAACCGCAGACCTCTGGGATTGTAGTGCAGTTTCCTGCCACTAGGCCACCAGAGCTCGCCTAAAGTAGCATTCTTAATCTGAAGTCCATTTGATATAAAAGAACTGATACATGTATCATCAATACCATATAATCTCATTTTAGATGATTCAGTATTCTGAACAGATGCCAGCAAAATAATTCTACCTCCTTAAATATATTACCAAGAACAAAACAGAAGACCTTATTTCTTTTTTTAGCCACTTCAGATTTTCTTTGGTTTCTATATTGTACATTACATACTCAGTTCAGTGAGTCTTTGCAGCTGTTCCTTCTCATTGTATCATGCCACAAAAGTAAACGAAGGTCAGTCATTTGCTGAACAATTCTTTTCACTCATGTCATTTGTGTAGAGTTTGTTGTTGTTGAGTCCATGGAGTCAGAACCAACACATAGCCAACCCTCTGGTGTGTTTTCAGAAGCAGTTAAACGCATGGGAGGAGATTGGCCAGCTTTGCCCTGCGGAGCAGCTGTGAGACTGGCTCGGGTTAGAGTAGGGTTCAGAGCTGAGCTGTTGGACGTAAAGTCACTGTGAGCTGCAGGCAACTTGATGGCACATAACATCAACAACAATGAAATTTTACTCTTAATTGTAGCATTTCTTTTCAATAATAATAAAAACGTGTTCTGTATTCCCTGAAATAATCTTTGCAAATTCACAGAAAATAATAATAAGCCCATGGTTTTTGCAATCACTTGTTAATGCAGCAGAGAGTTGGACAATGACTAGGGAGGATAGAAGGAGAATTGACGCCTTTGAGCTGTGGTGCTGGAGAAGAGTTTTGAATGTACCATG